CTGCAGAACCTGGAAGAGGTAGTTCTGTGACTGTATCAGGTGTGTTGGAGCAGAGAAACAAGTAAAACATGCAGGGCTGCGGCCCTCCAGGATTGCCCACCCCTGGTTTAAATGGTGTTTTTTTTATTACATATGTTTCATATGTAATTTTTTAAAGAGGAAATTTAAAACCCACACCAATCACCAAAGAGTTAAAGACCTAGTATTTCCTGAAGGAATGCATGTCGCCCGCCACCATTCATGCAAAAGTTTTGGACAAAGGTGGTAAAGTGATGGCGCTGGAGCTCTGCGGGACGAATTTTAACGTTCGGCACGATGTCATGCAATACCGTGAGACGTCACGCCCTGACTATGTGTTGTGAATGACTCTCAGCTACTACCACGCCAAATTCCAGCTCCATACCTGTAAAACAGACTGAAATGTTTTGCTTTAGTTAAAGGCACAGTGTNGTGTTTGGAAGTGGGGGTGGGGGTGGGGGGAGGACCAGGGAGGATGATTCAACCACTAGGTGTCGCTGAAAACAACAAATCCTACACACTGTGCCTTTTTAATATGGATCCACTGTGGTAGCCATCTTGGATTGAGTTTGTTTTCTGCAAGTCTCATTAAAATTCCTCTGGGGATATTTTTCTAACAGCCCTATTTTTATCGGGTTAACGTAGGAGTGGAGTCAGGATTTAGTGTTTTTGTGAATTGAAATAAAAAAATCCGTGTTTTTGCAGAGCTAGATTTCTGGGACCACTGCCTGGCTGAGCCCCAGGTGGCGGCGGACGTGACGGAGGACCGGACCAGCCACCAGCTGGCCAAGATGCTGGAGAGCTGCCTGTCCCGGGCCAAGAAGACCACCCTGCACTGCTCCTCGGTGCTGGTGCCGGAGAAGCTGACGCGGCGGATCGCCCGCGAGGTGCTGCGGCTGGCGTCCGGCGAGCCCTGCGGCCTGCGCGGCTGCGTGCTCTACGTGCAGCTGGAGCTGGAGAAGGGCCGCAAGCAGCTGGAGCGCATCGCCTACGACTCGTCGGTGGTGCCCACCTTCGAGCTGACGCTGGTGTTCAAGCAGGACTGCACGGCGTGGCCCAGCCTGCGGGACTTCCTGCTCATGGGCTCCTGCTTCGTGCCGGCGTTCAGGCACGTGCTGAAGCTGAGCCCGGGCTTCAGGCTGGTGAAGAAGAAGCTGTACTCCTCCTCGGCTGGAACCGTGATCGAGGAGTGCTGAACTCGTGGGACACTGAGCCCCGCGTGGGTCGATGCACTCGAGCCTGACTGTGGCGCCCCAGTGGCCTCACCTTTTTCTACCATGGTTTTGTTCAACAGTTCAACTATAAGCCAGAGTTGAAGGTGAAGTGAAACATTGAGCCTTTTTTTATCTCATGTTGAAGGTTCGTATTTAATGCAGTTGTTACTCGAGCACAATTTTAACATGGATTTTGTTTTTGTAAATGTGTTCAGAAYGTGTTGGAGTGGGATTAAACTTGGGGTACACTTCTGTTAAAGGCACGAGCCACTTTGTTGATGCTTCAGAGGCATCATATTGAGCAGTGAACACACCTGGGCTTGATTAGGACATGTTGTCTTTCAGGGGGCCAGGTGTGTGACGCTGTTTCAGACTGTTTTTTTTTTTTTAAAGATGTTACGATGCGAGCTTGTATCACTAAGGAACCTTACCTTACATGTCATAGAAAGATCACAGTGATCAACTGGTTTTTCTGAATGTATTTTTTTTTTCGTTTTGTATTTTTATACTGCCCTCCCCACAGATGCACCTTTTGCAAAGCAGAGCCTTTAAATGGAATAAAATGTTTGCTTCACATGAATGTATTGGGCTTGTTTAGGGTTTTTAACGTTTTATCTTGCAAAGGAACAAGACTTGTTACACTTTATTCTGGGCGACCTGCTGTCTTTTTAAAGAATAAAGTAATTAAACCTTTAACTTGTTGTTTTTTTTCGSTAGTCTCATGAACATTTGCTCTTAAAGTGGATTCACGCTTTAAATCCTTTTTTCACATCTAAATCAGTCAGTTTATAAAGTGGAACTGCAACGCTTTGGTGCGAATTCCTCATTATCGTAACTCCACAAGCCCCTCTTTTCTGGGGTGTGTTGGCTATTTTTATTTGTTTTATATCGGGTATGATTATAGCAGTGTGGAAACTTTTTAATTAAAATGTCAACAGCAGAAGACAACAAACCTGCAGAACAATGGATTTGCAAAACTTGTCATTTGTAAAGTAACTAAGCACAAATACTTTGCTACTGTACTTAAGTAAATTTAGGTTAAATGTACTTTACTTGAGTAATTATTTTTCATCATACATTTTACTTTTACTCATTACATTTTCACACAATTATCTGTACTTTCTACCACTTACATTTTTTTAAAAAGGTAAGAAGTAGAAAGTCGTTACTCCTTTTTTATTCCAGGTTATTTAAAAAAAATACTATCCATAAAAATTGTATATCCTGGATAGTGATTTTATTTGTGGTTGGACGGGAAGTATACAGTATTTACCATTCTGACACCATTTTACATTGTGAACAGTCCATCACAGCTGCACACTGTTAGAAAATATGTTTTTTGGAGACGTCACCTCCCAATAAATATCATTTTGGAAAATCTAACCGCTCATTTTTACTCAATACTTTTAATACTAAAGTAGATTTTGTCAGAAATATACTTTTGATATTTAAATACAAAATATATCAGATACTTTTAAGACTTTTACTCAATATTATTAGACG